AAAAAAAAAAGACTCAAAGCCTTTTCAGTAATTTAAAAGATGGAAGTACAACAAGCGATGGTGACTGTGATGAAAAGTACATTCTTTGAGAGGAAGGGTTGGTACAATCCTTGTTTCAGAGTGAGGGTGAATTTATTAACATTAAAGAGCAAGTTGCCAACACCCAGTAACTGGATGTTCATAACCCAGGGCCTGCCTGTGTAAGGATGTGATGGTAGAAATAATGTTTTCATACGACACAGTTATTTTGGTAAAATCAAAATTCAAGTGATATATTCTGCCTTATGAATTGTTATTTAAAAAAAGAAGAGAGAATTTCTATACTCCTTCAATCTGTTAAGGGTAATTACAAATATAATTTGTTGACTTTCCTTTCACTCTGGAAATTTAACTTGCATCCATAAAATAACCAAAGTGAGGATCATCTTACCCAGGAACAACTAACTTCTGTCCATTGTGAATACGGTATGAACATCGATAGTCATCAGGAAGCTTGCAACCAATCTGAGCTTCCACAGCATCCAGGTCTTCCTCTCGAGCGCCCTCTGTAAATACACACACACAAAAAAAGCAAATTGTGAAGAAACAATGAGCATTAAGTCTAAGAGTCAATACTATCTATCTACTAACCAATGAAACAATCTTGAAGCACATAAAGGCCACAATGTGCTACTGACAAGGGGAATAAATAGAAAATTCAGTCAAACATTCTCTCTTTTTAGATTCGCTTTTTTTATGTATACCTAGCCCAAAGTTGACAGTTCAAACTCACCAGCTGCTTTTGAAGTCCTAAGCAATCAAATTTCCTCTTAACAGGGAAAACACTGCCACTAAATATGGAAAGATGGGACCAATGAATCCCATATTCCGTTTTCTCATTACAATGCATGCTTCATGTTAAGTTTTATCTTTCTAAATCTAATGTACTCAAGAGTCTTACTGTAATGTAAAACATAGGTCATAAGGTGTAGATTCATGTGGTGAGGAGGCTGTTAACTTGGATTCATTTTACATGTTTGCAAGCTTGCCATAGATTCTAGGTTTAGAACCTCAAACCAAACCAAACCCATTGCTATACAGTCAATTCTGATTCATTGTGACCCGATACAGGGTTTCTGAGACCGTAAATCTTCATGGTAGCACCTAGCCTCATCTTTCTCCCACACAGTGGCTGGTGGTTTTGAACTGGCAACCCTGTGATTAACAATCCAATACCTAACCCACAGTACCATCAAGAGTCTTTTTTTAGGTTCAAAATGCAGGAAGCAATGCAATATACCAAGACAAGAGACTCGCTTCCAGTAATGGGAGGACAGCCACCAATCCTCCCACTAAAAACAACTAGAAAAGCTAAATAACAACTACAAAAATTGGTCTGAAGTGTTTGCAGAGCTCAAAGCAATGAGAACTGGTGGGATCCAGAAGAGGGGAACCAGCATCTGAAGCAAGGTCGTTTTGGGGGCAACTGCAAATTCTGACAGCAAATTTGAGGCTGTGGAGCCGGGAAGCTTTCAGCAGGACCCACTGGGCTGGAGGGTGAATGTCTGGAGTAGAGAGAAGTCTCCAAAGCTGAAGGAAACATCAAACCAGGAAGCAATATACATCCCACAGACAACAATTACAAAGAAAATCATATTTAGACATACCATTGGGAAAGCTGCCAGAAACCAAACACAAATAGAAATAAATCTTCAAGGTAGTCAGAGGAGGGGAAAAAATACCTACTTATCTTCAAAGGAAAAATAAGACTGCCAACGAACTCCTCAACAGAAACAACAGAAGCCAAAAAATGTGAAGTTCAAAGCACTAGAAAAAAATAATTGCCAACTAGAATTTTAGAATATAGCTTTCAAAAGTGAACATGGAATGTGTTTTTAAGATAAATAAAATCTGAAAAAAATTCATCAACAGCAGTCCCTACTGAAAGAGATACTAAAAGGAATTGTTTTAGCAGGAAAAACAAAAAATTATTTCAGATGGTAGCGTAAAAATCCATAGTGACCCTATATAGGGTTTCCGAGGAGCAGCTGGGGAGCTTGCACCACCAACCTTGCAGTTCAAACGGCTTTGCAGTCTGGCACATTCACTCTGCTGAGATATAATTCTAATTTATATGTACCTAGCAACACAGTTTCAAAATATAGTTTAAAAACAATAGAACTAAAATAGGAAAAGACCCTAACGTAACAGTCCTAGTAGAAGTACTGGTTTTCTACTGCTGTATGACAATTACCAGAATCTTAGCAACTTGAAACAATCCCATTCATTATTTCAGTTTTTGATTCTGATAGGTCCATCCATGATCTATCTTCTGCTCAGGTTTCACTAGGCTGGAATCCCAGAATCAACTGGGGTTGCTATCTCATCTTATATTGGGAATCCTCTTCAACCTCACTGGTTGTTAGCAGAATTCACTTTCTTGCCTTTGTAGAACTGAGGTCCTCAGCACATAGCGGCCACCTGCCAATCCCTGCCACATGTCCTCTACACAATATGGCAGTTTGCTTCTTCAAGCACAGTAAGAGAGTTGCTCACGCTTTAAACCTCTCTACCTTCTGTAAGGACCCAGTCCCTTTTATGAGCTTACCTGATTAAGTCAGACCCACTCAGAATAATCACATTTGTTATGAACTCAGAGTCAATGAATTTGGAACCCTAATTACATTAGCAACATCCCATCACCTTTGTCAGCTATATAACATAAAACTAATCGTAGGGGTAAACATTATAATCACAGTACTGCTCACACTCAAGGAGAGATTATTATAGGGACATGTATAGCACAGCTCTGGTAGCGCAGTGGTTACAAATTGGGCTGTGAACCTCAGGGATAGCAGTTCGAAACTACCAGCTGTTCCGTGGGAAAAAGATGAGGCTTTCTGCTCCCGTAAAGATTTACAGACTGAGAAACCCTGTACAGGGTCGCTATGAGTCAGAACCAACTCCACGGCCCATAACAACAACAATAGTAGAGGGCAGGAATGTTGGAGGGCTAGTCTAAAATTCTACCTATTACAGTGAGAGATGTTAAAATTCCTCTCTCAGTAACTAATAGAATAAGCAGATAAAAACAAATAAATAAAAATCAGTAACAGCACAGTCTGAATAAGACTAACAAACTTTACTTAATTATATTCCACAAGGTCAGCAGTTCAAACCCACTCCTCAAAAACCCTATACAGGGTTGTTTTAAGTCAGAATTGACTCACATTATACAACAACAACATTGTACTTACTAAATCCAACAATGGAGAATATATATTATTTTCAAGTGCAGATGGAATATTTACCTATTAAAATAGATCATATATACTGGACCTCAGAGGAAACCCCAACAAACTGTAAATGATTAGCCTCATATAAAGTGTGTTCTCTAATCAGTGAAAATAAACTATAAGTTAGCATGAAGATGAAGACAGGTGAAGACACAGAGAGTAATATAAAGGTTAAACATGGTGGTGTTGGTTATGTGCCATGGAGTCGGTTCCGATTCACAGTGACCCTACCCTGTACAGGGTTTACAAGGCTGCAAATCTTTACAGGAGCAGAAAGCCTCATCTTTCTCCCGTATAACAGCTGGTAGTTTCAAAATGCTGATCCTGAGGTTAGCAGCCTAATTCATAACCACTACTGCGCTACCAGAGCTTCTTAAGGTTAAAGTTGTTGTTGTTATATGCCATGGAGTCAGTTCCGACTCATAGCGACCCTGTACAGGGTTTCTGAGACTATAAATCTTACGGGAGCAGAAAGCCTTATCTTTCTCCCGTGGAACAGCTGGTAGTTTCAAATGCTGATCCTGAGGTTAGCAGCCCGATTCATAACCACTACGCTACCAGAGCTCCTTAAGGTTAAAGCAGGTTGAGGTAAATACTGTTATGTGCAAACTTGGAAGAGTATTTTTCTGTGGGTGGATATATGGGCAGATAAACAGACTGAACAGGTATGGGAGGAAAAGTGGAAGCAGACACACAATTATGAGTTTGACAGAGAATACTTGAACATGGGTATTTAGCTTTGCTGCAAACACACTTATGAATGTGGTGGTACATACCCTGAGGTAAAATGAGTTAAAGTTTTTAGATATTACCAAACAACTTAAAGCAATGAGTTTCTGGGTCTGGGGGTTCAGGACCATAGTTTCAGGGGACACTGTGATCAACTGGCATAACACAGTCCACAATTTCTACTTTGGTAAATAGTAACTGGGATCTTGAAAGCTCATGAGTGGCCATCTAAGGTATAATTGTTAGTCTCTCCAAGTGTGGAATAAAGAAGAATGACGAAAATTAAAGATGCTTGGAATCAACTAGTCCAATGAATCAATGAGCTACATGAACATCAGTTTCCTCGATTCTGAGTCCTGAAGAACTAGATAGTAGCTGGCTACCACTACCAACTGCTCTGAAAGGGATCCCAGTAGAAGGCCCCAGAGAGAGTGGCAGAAAATGGGGAACAAAACTCAAGATTATATTAAAAGACCGGATTTACTAATCAGAAAGAGACTGGAGGAACCTGAGACTATGGACCTTGGCCACCCTTCAAGTCTGTAACAGAACTTACCGTTGTAACTTAATTTTCAGTTAAGCAGTAGATAGGTATAGAGCAGAGACAACAACACTAATAAGGTATTCTCAATGTGGAATGGTCAACGATTCAAGATCACAAAGGCAGCATTTACCTAAAGACAAAGTTGAGAGGCATGGGAAGGTGGGTGGAATGGAAATTAGAACCACAGGGAGGAAGTGGGATAATTGTCGTTACATGGAGGGGATTGCAATCATTGAGATGAAACAGAGCATATGACTTGTTGATTGTAAGACTGATGATCTTCCTGTAAACTTTCACTCAATTAACAACAAAAGTTTTTTTTTAAAAAAGTTTATTAGAAAGCACCAACTGTTTGAAAATAAAGCAGTAGATTTCTACATAACCCAAAGTCAAAGAAGCTATCAAAAGAAAACATTTTGAAATGAACAGCAAGGGAAAAATGTCAAAATTTGTGTGATGAAACTAAACTAAGCTTTTCTTGGCAGCACAGTGGCTCCATAAGCACTGGACTGCAAACCACATGCCACTCCACAGGAGAAAGATGAGGCTTCCGGCCCCCATAAAGATTTTAAAAGCCTCAGAAGTCCTATATAGGGTCACTATGAATTGGAACTGACTCCATGGCACTTAATAACAACAACATGTTGTTGTTGTGAAGTGATGTCAAGTCAGTTCTGATCCATAGTGATCCTGTATAGGGTTTCCGAAGAACTGCTGGTGAGCTTGCAGTTCAAACGGCTTTGCTGCCTGGCGCACTAACCCACAGCGCCACACCAACATACTTTAGTTTAGTTTAAAATACACAATCAAGATGCAATGATAATTGTAATTGGAATGTGAAAGTTAGATACAAAGAGAAAAGATCAGTAGTTGGAAAACATGAGCCTGGTGATAGAAGAAACTGTGGAACAGACCATCAACTTCTCATATGCAAGTTCAGACTGAAACAGAAGAAAATTAAAACACATTCATAAGAGCCTTAATATGATCTTAAGTG